CCTTTTTATGGAAAAATAACTAGAAAATAACAAGGAATATGGTAATAAAAGTTTTGGCCATTTTGACCGATCATGATGTTTATGAAATTTCTACTACAAATGAAATATACAGTTAATTGTTCCGTCAATATCTCGGTATATTTAAGGAAATCCAGCGAACAAAGAATTGGAAACGGGTTTCATGACGGACGTGTCCTATTTTTTAAACTGAACAAGAGACTCTGACAGTAACAGGGTAAAAATTAACTACGTCGTTGGGTTAAAAGCCGAACTTCGACCCCATCAATCGAGACATATAAAGTTCTGTACTCCAAAAGCAGGCTCTAGACCTGATAAAGTTTTTATTATGTTGTTCATTTTAGCAGATGAAAAAAGGGATTTGTGAGGTTGTGTAACAACAGATAAATCTTTCGTAGTGTCAAACTAAGCACCTACGGACAACACTAGTAGCGCAATGGTAAAACTGGTGTTCTTCAAGGAGGTGTTTTTGTTCCTTTTATTTTATCGTAAGGTGTTGCCAAACAATGCCAATTAAAATACCTCTAAGTAGTTTTTATTTTAATTGATACATGTAACACCACGGCTTTTGAGTCCTAAGTCCATGCTACCAATTTAGGCTTGTTTGCAGCACTTTGTCAGTTGTTGTATACAGTGTGTTCAACTGATTGCTCCAAATGACACTATGCATATAGGAACTAATTTAGTATGACCAGACCTGTTTTCTAATCAGCCAAATAAATCCAAACGATTATTAACACATAACAACGCCTTCAATTTCCAGGTGCAGACAGCAACGTCAGCAAAGAAATGTGACGTCAATGGGTATTAAAATAAAAATACCGAGTATACTGATGGGTTGATAGGAAGAAAATAAATATTTACAGGCAATATTCATCTGAATCATGTTTGTCATCAAATTGAAATATGATCATTCAGAGCAAACGTTCAATTTTGATTTTGAAATAGACTTTTAAGGTGTTTCATGTCAACAATTTAAACCTCCTGTAAAAATGGACGTCGGTGAGAATTATTTGATATAATTAAAGCTTCTTGTTGTTGGACATCAATACAACTTTACTCCCATAAGGAAAATTTTAAACCAGCTTTCTATAGCCTGGTACAAAAATATAAGATAAAACAAAACAATAAACAGAAAAACAAAACAAAAAAAAAACAAAAAAAAAAAAAAAAGTACAAAAACCAAAACTCATGGACTCGTGTGTAAAGCATGTGGAATTAATTCTATGGTTGTATAGGACACACAAATGAATGGCATATTTAAGTGTAAGTTTAGAATAAGATACAGTAAAACAAAATAATGAGCTCAAAACCAAAACCATCTTCTGATCATTCATCGATATCATTCAAAACATATTTAAGGTATAAATTAAAAAACGATGGCGGCCATCTTGAATTTCCTCCAAGGTGTGCTGAACATCAAATGAGGAGGTGCACGCTTTCCTAATTTGATAAATTTCCCATCCTTCTGTATTGCCTTACATCATGAGAACGTCAAGTAGTTTGTGTGTATTCTAAATCGTGTCATTATGGGTCAGCTTCCAGTTTGCGTTCTGGTGCCTGATGATTGTCCGTTTCGATAGTGAACTTGGAAGTTGAGATGGTCAATAAAACATCTACCATAGCAGTATAAGGTTGACGTATCCACGTATCTCTCCCGGTATGTATTTTGGACTTTTTTTGGAAGACCATGGTTGCCAGTTCTTCAAACGATGCCATGAAAAGTCTCGCTTCGATGCATGACAGGACTGACCGAGCAGCTGGAATTTTCGTGGAGACCGTTCTCGGGTACAGCTTCCTGAATTGAGCTGGAGATACAGGATTTGTGTTGAACTTTAAGGAAAATCTTATTTGTTTTGTGCTTTTTCCTGGGTATTTTGTCAAAACACAGTTTCTCATGGACTTGTCGAATAATTATTTGTAGCAAAAGTCCTTAAATATTCAGCGACGTACCCTAACCTGTGTCACAATACAGAACAATCTGGTTTCATTGCAGGATTTCACACCATATCGACTGCTCGCTGAATTACACCGTTACGTGTGTTTACCTGGTCTCTAAATCAGAGTAAAAAGATAACTTTGAGGCCCCATACTTTGATTCAAACAAGAAATATTCCGATCACTGAAAGTGATTGATATGAACTTATAACGATAAAGATTGTGTGTGTGTGTTTGTGTGTGTGTGTGTGTGTGTGTGTGTGTGTGTGTGTGTGTGTGTGTGTGTGTGTGTGTGTGTGTGTGTGTGTGTAGTGTGTGTGTGTGTGTGTGTGTGTGTGTGTGTGTGTGTGTGTGTGTGTGTGTGTGTGTGTGTGTGTGTGTGTGTGTGTGTGTGTGTGTGAGAGAGAGAGAGAGTGTGTGTGTGTGTGTGTGTGTGTGTGTGTGTGGAGGCGTGGTATTTTAGCAAATGATATAAGATCATGTGTGTGTTTCAGTGTTTGTTTATTGATAAACATTTAAACTGTATGTTTTCGTTTGTGATAATTTCCCTACAATTATAGCTAGTATCTAATAGGATGAAATATTGTCAGGAATATTATATCAACTTTAAGATTAAGTAATTGACAGCTGATTCATTACATCTTAAGACTTGTGACACCTCAAATTCGACCCAAGATGTTGAGATATTTGGAACACCGCGTAAATTCGGAAGTCTAAAACGTAAGAAGGCAATGGTGTGTCACATAAATATATGTATTTAAATGAGGTCACTGCAATATTCTCTTCCCCTGAACCTCAACTTATCAAACAACAGTGAAGGATGGATTTCCGAAGCATGTTACACTAATAATGAGAAAGAAAGAAACAAATCCAGAGTACATCACCAGAAAAGACAAGCATAAGATTTAAAATAATTTCATTACGCACCATTATCTTAGTTTATGCTATACTTATATGTGTGAACAAAATTTGAGATATAACGGTACATGGGCTGATAAATATTTTGCCAAGTTCAAGATGTCAATGAGATGTCGGATACATTTTACTGTTGCAGAGGATGGGGTGATTGCGGTTTCTAGAGCAGATTAAAGAGTGTCTATGGTTAATGCATGTGTAATACCAAAATAAGGAGAGAGCTACCAGGTCCTTGACCTCTTGTTACACTACAGACAGATCCATCTTGTCTTTCTTCCATAACAGAAAGGGCACAATATAGGTGTAAGGGTAATCTTGGGAAATTTGAGACAGATCCGTCTAATCGTACTCCGAACTGGCGGTAAAAATCCTTCATTTTGAGAATCAACGTCGACCTCTTATGTTGTTTTTTGTTTTATTTATTTTTTTTTTTTCTGACAGTCCTAAAATCTAAAGGGCACAAGCAGGGACCAAGGAGAACCCACATACGATTTTTTTCTAACGAATAGAGATGGCAATCTTTTGTTGTCAAAATACAAGATGGCCTCCTGTCATCCATTTTATTTATAAGTCTCAAGGTCAAAGAATTCACAACTACGAATCTATGTGTCAAACATAATAAAAATTAATCCAATACTTCCCGACAAATAGCGAGAGGGAGCTTTCATAGTCATAATCCTAAATGACCGTCTGTCAGCCATTTTGATTTTTTTTCTGGTCAGTCTCAAAATAAAACTTCTTTCTGAGGGAAACCTACATTCGAAATTTGAGAGAGATTCATCAGGTACGCCTCAAGAAACGACGCGAACAATCTGTCATAGTAAAAGATGGCGACCTGTTAGTCATTAGGTTTTTCTGGTCAATCTTAAAATTGGCAATGCACATCTAGACACTAATGAGATTTGAGATTGACCTATCCAATACCTATCGAGAAATACCGATAAAATTATGACCGTCAAAACCCAAGGTGGCCACATGTCAGCCATCTTTTATTTTATTTTTTTTTCTGAGCTTGGTCCCAAAATGGACTTTGCGCAACAAGGGTTCAAAGAGAACGTTCATAAGAAGTTTGAGACTGATCTATCTCCAGGAATTTCGATTATAATATATGTTGTCAAAATATCAAGACGACCACTTTCACCTGAATGTGTTGACTTCCCTATCCCTAAATTGTTTACGCAGAAAAGGAAATCAAGGGGGCAATTTACCCATCATCATCATCATCGTCATCGTCATCATTCATCATCATCATCATCATCATCATCATCATCATCATCATCATCATCATTCATCGTCATCGTCATCATTCATCGTCATCGTCATCATCATTCTCATCGTCATCATCATTCATCATCATCATCATCATCATCATCATCATCATCATCATCATCATTCATCATCGTCATCGTCATCATCATCATCATCATCATCATCATCATCATCATCATCATCATCATTCATCATCATTCTCATCGTCATCATCATTCATCATCATCATCGTCATCATTCATCATCATCATCATCATCATCATCATCATCATCATCATCGTCGTCGTCATCGTCATCATTCATCATCATCATCATCATCATCATCATCATCATCATCATCATCATCATCATTCTCATCATCATCATCATCATCATCATCATCATCATCATCATCATCATCGTCATCATCATTCATCATCATCATCATCATCATCATCATCATCATCATCATTCTCATCGTCATCATCATTAATCATCATCATCATCATCATCATCATCATCATCATCTTCGTCGTCGTCTTCTTCATCATTAATCATCATCATCATCATCATCATCATCATCATCATCATCATCATCATCATCATTCATCATCGTCATCATCATCATCATCATCATCATTCATCATCGTCATCATTCATCATCGTCATCATCATCATTCTCATCGTCATCGTCATCATTCTCATCGTCATCATCATTCATCATCATCATCATCGTCATCATTCATCATCATCATCATCATCATCATCATCATCATCATTCATCATCATCATCATCATTCTCATCGTCATCGTCATCATTCTCATCATCATCATCATCATCATCGTCATCTGATGGGATAAAAATAAAAAGAACCCATGGGTAACTAAATACACACTTTTATTGTAACATTTGGTATATATGTAGATACAGTTTATTAAAGCATGCGTCTAACACGGTACACAACGTCCTTGCCTCAAAACGAACTGCCAGAAATCAAACGTTGATGATTAGAAAAAAACTGTTAATTACAACCAGAAAATATTTTTTAAATTTACGTTTTCAAGTTGGAAATACATGTAAATTAATATTGGCACGAATCATATGCATTTAATTTGATAAATGTGCGAATTTATCTCATGAAAATAAATTGTGTTAAAGTAAATTGAGTTAAAACAATCAACTTGAATCAATAATCTAAATATGGTCAAAGGCAATCCTTCACTGCACGAAGTTCATTTCATTTTTCAATCTCCGTACTCATATAGAGACATAGGCTAGTCATCGGACACGATACGTACCTCAATAAGGTAAAATGGAAGTAAACTCCATGAAAAAGCAGTGGACATATAAATGCATGCGATGCTTATATATAACAATGGCCACGCCCACCTGGTAAGTATAATATAGGTCACATGAAAAGGATTTCATTTTCGGGGACTGAATAACATAAACGGTGCTAATTCTAGTAAGAGTTTTGAATACCTTACGAAAAAAGATGTGTTCCCAAAATCTCTGATTAAATTCAAATAAAGTATGAGTGTGTATCAAGATTTGTTAATCGTGGCTGCGTTAAAATGTTTTGTGTATTACAGGTCCGAACTGGCTCTTTACAGGTCTGGTCGCCATGGTAGTGCATGCTTGGGAATCATGAATCTGGTCACCATGGAAATGTATGTTCGGGAATCATGAGTCTGGTCACCATGGTAATGTATGTTTGGGAATCATGAATCTGGTCACCATGGTAATGTATGTTTGGGAATCATGAATCTGGTCACCATGGTAATGTATGTTTGGGAATCATGAATCTGGTCACCATGGTAATGTATGTTTGGGAATCATGGATCTGGTCACCATGGTAATGTATGTTTGGGAATCATGAGTTTAGAATTCAGGGTAATGAGTATTTGTATTATAATCCTGTGTTTGGTTGTCATGGTAGCGTATGTTTGGTAACCATAGGTCTTGTATCCAGGGTAATTGTGTACCTATGGTTATCATATGTCTGGATTCCATGTCTATCAATCACACAATGACAGAGAATACATCAAAAGTACAAGTAATTAAAACAGGTGACAATATATTTATACTGTTACCTTACGACTACAGGATGGAAATTTGACGACGATCATTGCACCACTGGTGACGATTACATGGGACAGGGTTCAAACTACAAAATGTAAAACTGACTAGAGATTCAACATGCAATAACGTGCGAATGCTATATTGCGCCCACATGCTATATACAATGACACGGGCATCACAACGAACACTGATGTTGTAAAACAATAACACTCAATGGTACCAACAACTGACCTTAGTCAAACTAATACAATGTGCTTAACTTTCATTTCTCAACATCATAATTGTGATTATATCTCACATTGTCTTTATAATCTTTATGCTAAAATCAAATGAAAAAGAAATAAAAAAAACTTGAATCTAATTAATTTAAGAATGAATTATCATAAAATGGAAATAAACTCCAACGCAGACATCTCCATGCAAATGACTATGCAGATGTTTATGCATATTTATCTGCTATTATTTGTATTACATATTCCCTAAAACAAAAGTTTCAAATGAAAAAATCAATTGAGTATGAAATATTATCATTATTATGGCACAATTAAATAATGGCATACACAAGTGATAACAAAAATAAAACCCATTTATTACATGAGCAAACATACTATATCTATGTCTGAAAGTATGGCAACCTCTATTCTGGCACATCTTAGAAAATAAAAAAAATAAAAAACATATACACATAAATCGCATGCGCTAATTGCACTGCACAATAACCATTGACAGTGGTTATTGGATATGTATGCACTGTATTCAATTGTAAAATATCAGTCGCCAACAATTCATTCTCTTCCGTTTGACAAACGTTTCCATTTTGTATGCATATCTTGATAAACAAAATCTAACGGATAACAATTTCATAAACAATAGGATCATATTATCGGAAGACATGTTGACAGCAAAATACAATTTCATTAAACTGAGGGAGGAAAATATCTAAAAAAAAAAAAAAAAACTCGAAGAAAAGTCAATACAATAACAAACAAAGAGAGGATCAGAGCTCGGTTCAAAAACAGCCTGACCCTCAGAGGGGTCAGAGGTCAAAGATCATCTAGACACTCAGAGGGGTCAGAGGTCAAAGATCATGTAGACGCTCAGAGGGGTCAGAGGTCAAAGATCATCTAATATAGATGTTTATCAACAAATATCTGCAGGATCTCCATCTTACAAAACAATGACAAGCTTGGTGATCAGTCTTTCCTAGTAAAACATATGGATTGAGTGTTTTATATAGGTACTGATTTCAAAGTATTTCCCAATAGATTAGATGCTGTGTATGTACATACACGAGAGTCAGGCTTTTTCAGGCTTTTTTTTTCGTAAAAGGACTTTTTTTCCTGTAGATTTGCCGCTGTACACACTAAATACATTACAGCCCAAAATACATTTGGAACTTATCTTAAGAAATAATTTCAGTTAAAACTTCAGCACTCAGTCATATACAAAAATAACACAGCATCAACAATGACGGATCAGAGATCATATTTAACTAATGTTTATAAAAAAGATCATGTTCGGGCAAATTTTCTGATATATGAGCCTACTGGTAGTAATTCAACAGACTCCACAGCCTCCTTTAGCAGTACAAAGGGAGGTAACACATTCTGTCACACATAATTTAATATCTGTGGTGAACTAAGATGCCTAATGCTTTGTAAAAATGGGTAAAAACAAAAGCAATGCATACACAACCTTCAGATGGCAAAATGTTATCTAAAGAAACATCAGTTTGAATATTTGGTAACAAGTATGAATATATCGCACAAAAAAGTCATGTGGACAAGAAATATGTGCATTGTGACTCTATTGTTTGCACAAATAAAAAAAAATTTTGCTGTATACTGCAGACACATAAGACTACATGATATACTGCATATATGTCAACATTTCACAAATAATCCCAATAATCACACACCTGTTAATGAATGTTTTGGAATCAAAGTTCTACACCACCAAACATATATACACATTATCATTACATTAAACTTTATGGCATTTGTATCTTAAATTTAACTTTGTTAAACTTTGAAAAATATATTTGGGGCTTTTTTCATGCTCAAGGAAGAAGGGGTTGCTGTGCTTATAATTTTTTTTAATTTTCATCAAAATATTTATGCAAAATTTTGTTGCATTCCACTCGATACATCAAGAGGTATCATAAGAGAAAAATCAAAGCAACAGAACAAATTGCTGGCACGAAAAACCAAATCACGATATCAACTTCACCGTCAAAAATGAAGTCCACAAAACAAAAGAGAAAACATCATCAGCGCTCCAACTTCTAACAAAGTATACAAAAATAAAATAAGTAGGATATATTACGCTGGAATCAATCTTATACTGAGTAATGTGCTTCCATTACTTTCATAAATCCTTAAACATGTGTCACAGATATACTCATATATCCTTAAACATGTGTCACAGATGTACTCATATATCCTTAAACATGTGTCACAGATGTACTCATATATCCTTAAACATGTGTCACAGATGTACTCATATATCCTTAAACATGTGTCACAGATGTCCTGATATATCCTTAACGTGACAAATAGATGTACGGTCAGATCACTATGATGTAAAATTTATAATATGGCTTGTATATATTGAGGCATAAGAGTTTAAAACAGATCAGAATTTGCTAGAGATGATATCATAAGCACACAGGCATCAATGACACTAGGTCAAATGCCTGTTATCTAACATTTACAACATCTCTTACCATCACTAGAGTCAACATGCCTTTACAAAAAAGCACAGTGAGATAAAATATAGCGATAGGATTGCACTGCATGATCGAGAGTTCAACAAACAAGTATAAAAAAATCTAACAACATAAAAGCATATGTGAAAATTCTATAAGCAATGGCATAAATTTTGTGAACAACTTGTGAGTAGATCATTAAATTTTATCAAAGTTTGCAATATTCTTCATCAGAAGTGGGCAACATTTCAAATATAACAGTGAAATCAGCCTTACAAAGATTGGCACAAAATGTTTTGCAAATATAACACATCAAGAGTCGCCATCAAACCATCCGCATAACAAATAGCTCAGCCAGAGGTTCAATAGTATCGCTCACCTGGTCTCTTCATCATTTAGGAGTTGGAAATATTGAAACATGGTCAGTCTCAGAGGATTTTTCATAAGTGCTATAATTCTGACAACATAGATGCCTTTTTTGCACTCAGACTTTCACAAAGAATCTTATTCCATTTCCTCAAGTGATATACACAGTTATATCAATTGAAGACAAGTACATATTTAATAAGATTTCGAAAGTTTTAGAAGAATTATTCTAAATGTGTAACATTATAAATCAAATGAATCAGAAAGAACAAGGTTTCGAATAATTGCGCGTCTTTCATCCTTGTTGTGATTCTCTTGACTAGTACCAGAACATGTAATCTTCTGAAAAATAAATCTGAATGAACGGATTGAAAGATGCTTAATCTAAACAAACGGAACATACGTTAAGGATGTTTATGAAAATTTTGAATCAGTTTAATCATGACTTGTGCACTTTGTAATAGGTCTACAATAAACCAAATTTGGTGGATGTATTTATCATTTAATATAAGGTAAACTGAGCTAAAAATACTTCTTAGCACAAATGGAATAGTCCAAAAATTGTGAAAACATTGTACAAAAATCAGTTGATGAATTCCCGATTCAAATTATGTCAAAAAACATCAAATCAATTGAAATTTTCTTTGTCATCTCGAAATCAAGCAAGACTGAACGAACAACAAAAACAAAATCACCAATGTATTGCCCATATCTAAGTTTGTCCAGCTTTGAGCTTTACACTATCCAATGTAGGCGGACAGCTTTCTATTATTGGTTAAACCTCTAGATTTTAATACCATCACAGAGCTTGGGATAGGGAAAGAGTGCAAGATCTAACCTTAACCTTAGCTCTGCCTGGAGTATCATAAGAATCAAGCTCAAAATTTCTAGATTCTTACAGAGCAAAACCTGTAGCAGACAGACAGACAGACAGACCATAGACACCGGACAGATAGACTACAGACACCACATCATGGCATAAAAAATTGACTTGTATCTAGACATCTATATCTCGACCAAGTCACTTGTCATCAATGTCAGGTGATCAGAATATACATTCTGAGTCATCTAAAAGCTTGTCAGTATAGTGTTGAACAGTTTAAACAGGCAACAGACTGCTGTCAGTTGACAAGTATATGTCTTATCAGCAAATGTGTATTTCACATGACATAATAGCTGATTAATTATTCACATTACGGTGATCAAATTCATACGGTTTCACAGCATGTAAACTTGAAGTGTTGTTATAGAAACCATTCTGTATACCCGTATGTCCAGACTGTGAAAAAAGGTTTCCCGCAGGAGACAAATTCTGACCAGATTGCGTAAAACTGAGTCCAGAGTGTGTTATGGTTTGTCCAGACATATTCTGCCCTGACTGTGTTACATTATGCTGTCCTGACTGTGCCATACTTTGGCCCGACTGCGTAATAATTTGTCCTGACTGTGTCATACTTTGTCCCGACTGTGTCAAACTTTGTCCCGACTGTGTCATACTTTGTCCCGACTGTGTCATACTTTGTCCCGACTGTGTCAAACTTTGTCCTGACTGTGTCATACTTTGTCCCGACTGTGTCAAACTTTGTCCTGACTGTGTCAAACTTTGTTCTGACTGTGTCATACTGACAGAAGTAAACGTTTGACCAGAATGTGTAAATGTTTGGACAGCATGACTTATGGTCTGCCCAGAATCTGACATGGCTTGTCCAGACGGCGAAAAGTTTTGGCTGGACTGAGTATATGTTTGAGCAGATTGTGTACTATTCTGCCCAGACTGCGTAAATGTCTGCCCTGGTGGCAACACTGTTTGTCCTGACCTTGAAATACTTCGCCCAGGCTGTAAGTTCATTTGACCTGATTGCGGAAACGTGGGACCACTTGGTGTATCATTCCTTGAAGACTGTTCCATGATTGATTTGTCAGCAAACAGTTTCCGAAGATTCTCATCAACAAGATTTTGAACGAGTCTATGTTCTGAATGTTCAAATTTAAAAGGATCTGGAGAAAAGTGTCGTTCAGAATTCTGTACTGCAGTTTGACTTTTGTCACTAGTTGACTTGTCAGACCCATATTCTTTTTGGCTAGAAGTGTCATCATTTGTGTCTTGTGACGTGTCCTTTGACGCTACAGGAACAGCCATAGCAGCATTACGAGCCATAGGTTCCCCGATTGTTGTGTTTCTGGACACAGAATCCAAGGTAAGATTTCGTGATAAGGATTCTGATGTATTTGGATTTTGTGCTAATGATTCAACAATGGTCGGATTACGAGGCATGGGCGGCACCATAGAGGGATATACGGAGTCCTTGGGTGATTTAATTGTGTGTGTACAATTATGCTTTTTCAGATGGTCTGATCTGTTGAATCCCTTCCCACAAATTTCACATTTGAAAGGTTTATCTGGTGAATGAATGTATTTATGTTTTTTCAGATGGTCTGTTCTATTGAATCCTTTCCCACAAATCTCACATTTGTAAGGCCTCTCCGAAGAATGTGTATCTGTATGTTTCTTGAGGTGATCTGACCTGTTGAAACCTTTACCACACACAAAACACTTAAATGGCTTCTCAGTTGAATGTGTGTGCTTGTGTTTCTTCAAGTGATCAATCCTAATGAAACCCTTCCCACAAATATCGCAAATAAATGGCCGCTCTCGTTCTGGACCATGTATACAGCCATGTTTCTTCAAATGATCCACTCGGGCAAAACTCTTCTGGCACAGGTCACATTTGAACGGCTTCTCTGTAATTTGAGAACAATTGTGGAGCTTTAGATGGTCAGATCTCTTGAAACCTTTTCCACAGAGAACACACATGTACGGTTTTTCTCCAGTGTGAACAAACATGTGTTCTTTAAGATGATCAGCCCTGGTGAAATCTTTCTCACATCTGTCACATTTGAAGGGTCTGTCCTTTGCATGAATTCCCATGTGTTTCTTCAAGTGATCTTTGCGACTAAAATCCTTGTTGCATTCCTCACACTTATATGGTTTCTCTTTTGGGGTTACGCTCTGTACTTTTGCGGCAGTGTCTGGTTTCTTTGTGGTTGTATCCGTGGCAGCAACAGCAGCAGCAATGGCAGCAGTGGCATGTGGCACACAATTATGAGCATTGATGTTGTCCGTTCTCTCAAAATAATCTCCACAAAGAATGCACAGAAATGGTTTCATCATAACCTGCATACTTATACGTTCTCTCAACTGTTCAACAGTGCTTCCATACATCAGGTCGTTACTTTGTGATTTTTCTGTTCGCTGGCGGCAATTATGGTCATTCACATGTGTTCCGTTGAAGCACAGCCCACAAAAGATACACATGAAAGGTTTCACTGTTGTCTGCATGCGGAGCTGTTCCCTAAGGTACTCAACAGTTCCATAGTTGTGACCACATATGTCAGCACTACATGCCGTCGGTTTCTGCTCTGTTGGCATGGGAACACTCTCCTTTAAATGTTCAGAACAGAAGTCACTTCTCCCTGGACCAGCATTGTGCTGTTGCTCACGAATGGACTCAGTAGCGCTTGGACACCTTTCTTGGGGAACTGTGTTGTTACATGATTTTCCCATATCACCAATAGCTCTTGGGTCCTTTAAAGTGTCTAGGACAGCTTCGTTACTGTGCTCTTTATGAGACGGATGTACGACCGGTGCTACCATACTTTTATTCCCATACATACTGTAGTTTGTGTGTTTTACACCAGCCTGCAAGCAGTTGTGGTCTTTCAGCTGTTCTGCTCTCTCGAACGCAGCACCACAACTGTTACATTTATGAGGCATGTTGACAATGTGTGGGGGGACCATGCCATGCATGTTCGCCTCGTCCAGTCCTCGTCCTGTCAAGTAAGATTGATAGTGCATAGGCGACATATAGAATGGGCGAATGTTGGTTTCCTCGTAGATGTTTCGGACAGCTCCATATCGACCGTCTGCGTATCGCATCACTGACGCATCCATGACTGTGACAGTTAAATCACTTGCCTAGGATTTGGCGGCCTCTGTGTCCATAGTGATGATAAATAGAAGAGTTTTGTTGATACTTGATTAAAACAATGATAATGCCCCACTTATTTTAATTTTCCATTTTCTTGAAAGGTTTTAGAGTTCGATAGAGTTTAAGGCATGGTGTATTTACAGATTTGATATCCATCCAAGGCTGAATGATATACCGTAGCTAAAGTTATCCACCACATCCTGGAAAAAAAAGAATATGGAAAAGAAATATTTTGGTAATTCATGAAATGTTTCCATATTTTCTAAAGTCATTATGGTACATCTTGTGCTATATTTGTAATGAATGAAACATTTTGGTTGATGTGTTTTATCTACTTTTTACTCACATTTACTCAGTAAACAAAAAATAATGCAGACGTCTGCAAAGGGATTTGATCATCTGACCAGGAGCTATCTTTTGATGTTTGTTTGAAAAATTGAAATAAAAAAACACAAATACAGTCAATCATTTCTTCCACCAGCCGATGTCACTGACCGCCCCAACTCACTTATTGGTAGCACAATTATTCCAGCATGTCCGAACAACTAATACTACCAATTAGTACTATCTGATAATGCCTTTAAAGTGACATATAGGAAAATAAAAATTACGAAAACACCAATATGTCTGGTGTAATTCTACAGGGACATCTATATGTCTGGTGTAATTCTACAGGGACATCTATATGTCTGGTGTAATTCTACAGGGACATCTACATGTCTGGTGTAATTCTACAGGGACATATATATGTCTGGTGTAATTCTACAGGGACATCTATATGTCTGGTGTAATTCTACAGGGACATATATATGTCTTGTGTAATTCTACAGGGACATCTTTATGTCTAGTATAATTTTACAGGGACATCTATATGTCTGGTGTAATTCTACAGGGATGTCTATATGTCTAGTGTAATTTTATAGGGACATCTATATGTCTAGTGTAATTCTACAGGGACATCTATATGTCTTGTGTAATTCTACAGGGACATCTATATGTCTGGTGTAATTCTATAGGGACATCTATTTGTCTAGTGGAATTTTATAGGGACATCTTTATGTCTGATGTAATTCTACAGACATCTATATGTCTGGTGTAATTCTACAGACATCTCTGTGTCTGGTGTAATTCTACAGGGACATCTATATGTCTGGTGTAATTCTACACAGACATCTATATGTCTGGTGTAATTCTACAAAGACATCTAAATGTCTGGTGTAATTCTATAGGGACATCTATATGTCTAGTGTAATTTTATAGGGACATCTATATGTCTGGTGTAATTCTACACAGACATCTATATGTCTGGTGTAATTCTACAAAGACATCTAAATGTCTGGTGTAATTCTACAGGGGCATCTTTATGTCTGGTGTAATTTTACAGGGACATCTTTATGTCTGGTGTAATTCTACAGGGGCATCTATATGCCTGGTGTAATTCTACAGGGACATATATATGCCTGGTGTAATTCTACAGGGACATCTACATGTCTGGTGTAATTCTACAGGGACATCTCTGTGTCTGGTGTAATTCTACAGTGACATCTAAATGTCTGGTGTAATTCTACAGGGACATCTATATGTCTAGTGTTATTCTACAGGGACATCTATATGTCTGATGTAATTCTACAGGGACATCTATATGTCTGGTGTAATTCTACAGAACCTTCTATATGTCAATCGTAATTCTACAGGGACATCTATATGTCTGGTGTAATTCTACAGGGACATCTATATGTCTGGTGTAATTCTATAGGGACATCTATATGTCTGGTGTAATTCTACAGAGACATCTATATGTCAATCGTAATTCTACAGGGACATCTATATGTCTGGTGTAATTCTACAGGGACATCTATATGTCTGGTGTAATTCTACAGAGACATCTATATGTCAAGTGTAATTCTACAGGGACATCTATATGTCTGGTGTAATTCTACAGGGACATCTATATGCCTGTTGTAATTCTTCAGACATCTTTATGACTGGTGTAATTCTACAGGGACATCTATATGTCTAGTGTAATTCTACAGGGATGTCTATATGTCTGAAGTAATTCTACAGAGACATCTCTTTGTCTAGTGTAATTTTACAGGGACATCTATATGTCTGGTGTAATTCTACAGGGACATCTATATGTCTGGTGTAATTCTACAGAGACATCTATATGTCTGGTGTAATTTTACAGAGACATCTATATGTCTGGTGTAATTCTACAGAGACATCTATATGCCTGGTGTCATTCTATAGGGACATCTTTATGTCTGGTGTTATTCTATAGGGATGTCTATATGTCTGGTGTAATTCTACAGGGACATCTATATGTCTGGTGTAATTCTACAGGGTCATCTATATGTCTGGTGTAATTCTACAGAGACATCTATATGCCTGGTGTAATTCTATAGGGACATCTATATGTCTAGTGTAATTTTACAGAGACATATATATGTCTGGTGTAATTCTACATCGACATCTATATTTCTAGTGTAATTTTACAGGGACATCTATATGTCTGGTGTAATTCTACAGAGACATCTATATGTCAAGTGTAATTCTACAGGGACATCTATATGTCTGGTGTAATTCTATAGGGACATCTATATGTCTAGTGTAATTTTACAGAGACATATATATGTCTGGTGTAATTCTACATCGACATCTATATTTCTAGTGTAATTTTACAGGGACATCTATATTTCTAGTGTAATTTTACAGGGACATCTATATGTCTGGTGTAATTCTACAGAGACATCTATATGTCAAGTGTAATTCTACAGGGACATCTATATGTCTGGTGTAATTCTATAGGGACATCTATATGTCAAGTGTAATTCTACAGGGACATCTATATGTCTGGTGTAATTCTATAGGGACATCTATATGTCTAGTGTAATTTTACAGAGACATATATATGTCTGGTGTAATTCTACATCGACATCTATATTTCTAGTGTAATTTTACAGGGACATCTATATTTCTAGTGTAATTTTACAGGGACATCTATATGTCTGGTGTAATTCTACAGAGACATCTATATGTCAAGTGTAATTCTACAGGGACATCTATATGTCTGGTGTAATTCTATAGGGACATCTATATGTCTGGTGTAATTCTACAGGGACATCTATATGTCTGGTGTAATTCTATAGGGACATCTATATGTCTGGTGTAATTCTATAGGGACATCTATATGTCTGGTGTAATTCTATAGGGACATCTATATGTCTGGTGTAATTCTACAGGGACATCTATATGTCTGGTGTAATTCTACAGGGACATCTATATGTCTGGTGTAATTCTACAGGGACATCTATATGTCTGGTGTAATTCTACAGGGACATCTATATGTCTGGTGTAATTCTACAGGGACATCTATATGTCTGGTGTAATTCTATAGGGACATCTATATGTCATGAAGGATACAGAGGCTGTATTGTTGCTATTGTTTATATTTGTGTAGGTCTCAAAATGCTAAATAATTATCTCTTTTCTATCAACCACTTGGTATAATGTACCTTTCCTATAGAATCGAATGATATACTGTTGCTGAAGTAAGTCATGAGTTGTTTCATCAGAAAAAATGTATTTAGATGTATTTTCAAAAAACGTTTTGATTTTTTTTCAAAGAAGGAAATCAAAACTAAAACAAACATCTTACTGCATTGTGTGCTTTTCTTTGAATATTTTCCCACGGGATATTTTGATAAATCTTAAAATCTAGAAATATTGAAAACGAAGTCCTGTAGACCTATGTGACATCTATTTCAGATACACTGGTGCAGCAACCTTAAGTCCAGCTATTATAAGTTGATTTGAAGATTATGCTTGGCCTATATATGGCAACACACTATAAATATTGCCACATACTTTAGGCCTTGATGGAGGAAACAATAAACAAGACTATGAAATGGAGCTCATGATATTATATATAATGTCCTATATTGCAGCATCTTCATGTAATGCTCAGTAATGTTAAACGGGTTTTAAACTCATCTTTCAGTTAAACAGATGAATACCACTTGTTTACAACTTTAAACACAGTAGTTATAATTTACAGGGACATAAATGTTTGTAAATTTAGCTGTATAGCCGAAATAAGTACAACATAACTGTGACTTAGGTTGCGTAAATTCTCCTACGACGGCACATGTTCGACACCGGAACAAAACACGCGTAACGTATTCCATGAAGTTTAGCATCCAAAGCTCATTCAGTGCAGAAACCATATTCAGATACACTTTAGGGTGACAAAAATTACAATACTTTTAAATCAACTAACATGAATCATTTGTGAGGTGTTGAAAACGATTTGCAACTGCTTTGAATCCTAACTTCTAGGGTGAGTTCCCCAGACAACCTCCTCTAGAGTCAATACATGTAATTCTATCCTCCGTGAATCATACTTTCCATCAAAGGTAAGCATATCGTCGAGCTGTCACTTGAAGTGACCTATACGTGAAAATGACATGTCATATCAGTGTTTAGTATCCTACTTACCTCATATACCGGTACAGCCATGTTTCTGTAACGATATAAATTCATAATACTATGCAGCTACAGCGCCGAGATCTTGTCTTTGTTATAGAGCGGAAGTGCAACTGTGGTTACTTCCCTTGAATAACTGAACAGGCACTTAGCGTATTTAATGTGGTGCAACGAGCACGAAGCTCCTACGTAATTTTGGCTGTTTACAATAAAGTTGTGGCAAGCAAATAGGCAAAATTTAACTTTTTTCTCTTCTGCGTCCCCCATGCACTTCACTTAATGTAATATCCTTTGCTACACATATAGGAAGGTCCAAGGAGAGAATCAAATGTACTTGAAATCAGAACAATTTTTCGATGTGGGAATGTCGGTCTGATCGTCCGAACTTTGAAAAAGTTCTGAAGTTAAAGGGATAATGTTCGTGTAGACAAGCAAAAACTTAACCTTACAAGTAACTCTATAATGCTTTGAGACTGATCAATGCACGTAGGTGTCTCACATGGTGCGTTCATCGAATTCCCTATCTGTTAGGGCGGACATTGACTAGGCGCGGGAGGAGTTTAGTGAGATGAGACCAGGCCAGTAGAGGGTCATTCTCGGCCCCCATCGGATATCGACCTTAACACTATACCATACTGAAATAGTGAAACGAAGAATAGTAACTCTGGGCGATCAGAACTTGATAGTAGTGGAGTTTGAAAATTATGAGATGTGTTTGAGAAGAAGTCACTATGACATGAAAGTCGCGGAAAGCATATATGAAAGAAAGACAAACTTAAAAACAAAAGAAATTAAAGTTAATAGACTCAATAGTTCTAATAAGCGAAACGCATATTTTCGGTTTGAAAATTTTAATCACACCTGTTGGTAAATGTACTCATATTGATTTGTATTTGTATTTCGCAAGTTCTTTTCACAGAGTCATTATTTTTGGATTCAACACTGAAGATCAAATTTTCAGTACAGGAGCTCCGGTATATAAAACAAGAGGTCCATAGGGTCTGTATCGCTTCATCCAAACTAGATAAAAAGCGTATAAACTTGAAGTTTAACATCTATTTACACTCTAATGCCCCGCCCCACTGCCCCATGGGAATCAGATGCAGCCCTTTAAAAAAATGAAGTTCCATTCCCTCATTGATGCTTCAAATCAAATTGGCGCAAAATTTAAAATTTGCGAAAGAATGATGATTTGAATGAATCTGCTATATTTCTCCTGTTGTGTCCCGTCACTCATGTCACACGGGGTATGCGACCCAAAGTTGCTTCAAACCAAATTGAGACAAAACCCTGACATACCTTGCAAAGAAAGAATCTAATGAATTTACTCCAGTTCCCATATTTGACCCCGCCCTTCAGCCCCACAGTTTACATAAAACTGGTTCCGGTTCCGCTTCACCAATGGATGCTTCAGACCAAATTTCACAAAATCTTATCGTTTCTGCAGGAGAAGAAGAATTTTAAAGAATTTGCTCTATTTTCCATATTTTGCCCCGCCCTTCAACCCCAGAGGACAGAGACCCACAGTTCAGTTTATACAAAACCAGTTTCCTCTTCACATATGGATGCTTCAGACCAAATTTGACAAAATCCAATCATTTCTGCAGGAGAGGAATTTTAAAGAATTTGCTCTATTTCCCGTATTGGGCCCGCCCTTCCCGCCTCTCAGGGGTCGAGACCCACCATGTATACAAAACTGACTCCCATTCATTAAGGGACGCTTCTGACCAAATTTGGAAATCAAATTATTCCTGCAGGAAGAGTAGGATTTTAAAGAATTTGTTCTATTCTTCAGATTGGGCACCGACCCTCAAGCCCCGGGAGCCCAGACCGACCGTTCAGTAAACAAAATTGGTTTCCTTTCCCTCAAAAATCCTTCAGACCAAATTTGGTTAAAATCAGCTGCTCAGGTGTACATATCTAGTAGCAATTTATAAGCTCTTTCGGACAAGGTGAGCTAAACAGGGAATAACGATAATTGTTTCATTTATGTTTTCAGTCTTTTTTGATGGTCTATAAATTTTATTCCGTAGAATCTTCTTGACCCCTAGTGGTGCAATAGCAATATTGCGGGAAATCGAAAACACTGATATTGCCTGTGACGTTTACCGCTATTTCATGGAAGGACAAGTCCTAAATTGTATATGTAGGTTCCCAATGGTCCCGAGATTCACATTTTAATTTTGAGACTGGCCAATATTAGTTTAAGTGTATATTTACCGTATTTACCGAGGCTTGCTGAGTGTTTGACAGCTTAATAATCCCCCCGAGGGTTGAGATCCCCCTGTCTCATCCCAAATCGGGTGAATGATTATTTTTCTCTTACCCTGTTCCCCCGCTGATTGTAAAATTCGAAATAGAATGTTTGTAAACAAAAACTCGTAGACAACGTATGAATATAGTGACAATGCCGTCTCAACCGCGTCACGCTTAATTGTGATATCCCGCACAAAATATAATTCCCATTAACGGTACAGTAAAAGATAAAAAGGCATAATATTATTGATAAAAAAACAATTTTAATGTGAAAGTATGGATGAGATGACTTCAATATATAAACAAAATCAACACTTATAATTAAATCGTTATTTTACAATGACGTCATTTACATGTCAAATTCCACTTCCGGGTCAAGATAGTGACGTCACATTATTGTTGAGAACGCGCAAGGAGCGCGTGTAGCTTGTCTCAACCCCAGGGTGAGATAGAAAAATCTCACACCGGTAAAAACTGTAGATTAATAGAATCTTCCCCTACCCTGAGGGTGTGATAGAGAAATCTCCAACCCGAGGGGTGATTTTTGTTGTTGTCTAACCCGAGGGTTAGACTACAAAAAAAATCACCCCGAGGGTTGGAGATTTCTCTGTCACATCCTCTGAGGGTAGGGGTTGATTATTTTTCTTCCATCCCATTATTTCTGCCACGACGTAAAAAAAAAAAATCCCACGGTACAAGTGTCTGAATGGCGCATGAATATCACCATTCACGTTTCCAAAATTCTACATTCTTCCGCGGGAGCAAAATGACAGACTGCAAACGCAATATGAATAACCATTAGAAATATTTATTTTTTGGAAATTAAATATTTTAATTAGAGATAGATACATGGAAATACTTGTATTGAACAACATTTAACTCTGTATCATTTATTAAGGTAGGGTAGGCTTGCCGCGATGTCATGGACAAAAAGGGAATTTCCCAGTTTATAATGACGTCAATTGTTTATGCGCGCGAAAAATTGCAATGGTGTGAGTGTCACGCGTGTGTTCATTCAGAATCAGAGTCATAGATGATCCACCGACGTTTATTTGTGTTCACTGGACAAGGACTGTTATAGTTAATGTTAACTGTGATGTTACAGTCGCGCATTACGGAACCTGCAAACAAAGCATCCACTCATCGGTTTGAGTAAGTTGTGATAGCCGACTAAGGTCACCGAGTGCAGTCATGTGGGATAGATTTATCCTCCATGGATGTTCCACATGGGACATGTCTATCCTACATGGGCAGAGGTGGGAGAAATCCCTGTCCGGAATAAGAGAAAGCCCCTCTCTACCTCATCTCTGTATCTCACTCTCTCCAGTCACTGATAGTATATACAGCCCCTCTCTACCTCATCTCTGTATCTCACTCTCTCCAGTCACTGATAGTATATACTTGAATTTGAGTTTCGATTTTAAATCTGTTCACATATTTTTTATGACCTTGCAAAATCAGAAATATGATTTGTAGAAATGACTAGACAGAAATGTCCTTGTACGGTTGAAACATACTCTCGCCTGGAATAAGTACTCAATTAGTTATTCAGAAATCGCAAAATCTACGCATGTGGCGTTAACAGTACTCGTGACCGTGTCCACACAGAACGGTATTTTATGGTGTTATGCCTCACAAGTTGTAGAAATACCATATTCATTAAAATCAACGTGTTCACTCTTTACAACGCGTGTCACCATTTTTAATTCTTGTCGCCTAGGATTGGTTTTCACCTTGCCTGACCTCGGCGTGGGCGTCGGCCCCGGTCCCGTCCCGGCCCAGGAGCAGGGATTATGATACATAATTAATACCTGCAGGACTCCCCTCAGGGTATTCTTTTCCCGTGATTTGGAAAGTATGGCATGAAATAATGTAAAATGTCGACGAGTTTTTGAGACCATGTCTCATATCAATTTGGTTTATTTCTAAATCTCAAGTCATTTGTATTCGTCATCAGAATCGATGGTTTACTGAACTGCTGTACTAAAATATGTAACTTTATGCAGAAATCACGGTCACTTTAAAGTGGATATAGTGTTTTAGTTTTTTCAGTCTTGCGTGTTCATATATTCTCATGTGCATAACTCGTTTTGGCGTCATTGCGGTTGGCATATTCAGTGAATACTTCGAATACGTACATTTGAATTTTTGAAATTAATTATAAACAAAGACAAAGAGTTACCTAAAATTTACAAATTTTAATTGCCATGTCTTATAAATGAATGCAATCACTACCATATAAGAAGACGTTGTGAATCATTCGTCAAATAGGCTGCTTTTGATGATTTCATGGTGTTTAAAATTATCACTGCAATGCAGCGAATTAACTACGATGCAAGGGAGGTAACTCGTAAAGAATGGTATCGGACCACACAAGCAAGTGCAATTTAAAATAAAATTATATCATTTAATGATTTATTGCTTACGGTGTCTGTTTTGTTCTTAAAATACGTTTGTTAAAATCTCTTAAAGTGTATTTTGTCCTCTACAAGGCGACAGTGAGAATAGAAGTAAACTATATTTATCGAACATTTTTATAGATATATAGATCAATTTATTTGATTATTGAGTTATAATATGGATAGTCTGACAAATATCATTAATATCAGTGAAAACGATGCAAAATTTATGAAATTTATGAATTTTTGTGTTTTGGAATATTTTATTATTAGGACTTAAAAGGGATTAGTATCGATGTAAATATGATCACTTCATTTAGAAAAAAAAAATCTGACTCAGTTTTCTTGATAACAAATTGCTCGTAAGATTACATTGTAGATATTGTATCTCGTCACACAGCTATTCACTCGCTATACTTGGAACTAAGAATGTA